CAAATAACCAATAATAATGTAATACCGGAATGTGATTTTATAAAATATTTAGGGGTTACAATCGACAAACATCTTAAATGGAATATTCATATTAATAATGTAACTAAAAAATTGCGAGGATTGTTGCCGAAATTTAATTATTTGAAAAGTTTTTTGGACGTCAAACAGCTTAGAATCCTGTACTCATCCCTTGTACAATCTCATTTGACATATGGAATTCTAGGGTGGGGTGGTGCGGCTGAATGTCATTTAAAGAGCTTGTATTCTGTTCAAAAATGGTTCATAAAAATTATTTACAATAAAAAGAAAACTTTCTCTTCAAACGTTCTCTTTAAGCAGGCACATCTACTGGATATACGTCAGCTATACAGCCTAGATGTTTTAAAATTCATTTATCAGGGGAAAATATCTATTGAACATGTTGACCATGAATATGAAACTAGACATAAGGCGTTTTATCCTAGTTTATGCTCTAAAACTGTTGGACAAAGATCTTCAAAGTTTTTTGTACCTCGATTATATAACATCTTACCAACCTTCCTAAAGGATGTTAAAAGTTACTCCGGGTTTAAAAAAGGGGTATGCAAATGGATGGTTGATCGAGGGAGAGATATATTTAATGACCTAGTTAACTTAAAATATACAAAATAAATTTTCATAAGTGCCAGTGAACATTATATATTGTCATAATTAAATTGTATTCCTTTCCACATACAAGTAATTCTATTACTTTGTGGTAATTCTTTTAACGTTTATTTTGATTCTTAAAATTTAAATATAGTCTTAGTTAAATAGTACTTAGATAATGTGTATTAGATATAGTAGCATATTATGTTGTATTGTACTGTACTATTTTGTATCTGTTACAATCTTTGGTTTTTGAGATATTTAAAGATATTTAAATATGCATGCTATAATAAAAAAGATTGTGAACACCAGGTACTAATTGTTTTGCTGACTTTTAAGCCAAAGAAATAAACTGTACTGGAAATTTTGACTGCTGCGTTTAATGTATACAGAGGTGTCAAAAACTACTGTCTATTTTAAATATTTATTTTACATAGAAACATATTTCAAATACCACACTCTGTATTTTTTTAAAATAAATCGAAGCAGATTCAAATGCTCTTTCAAACTATACTAGGGTTTGCTATACCTATCTATTTTGAATAAAGAGCAATTTTTCAATAAAATGGCAACCAAGAGGGCTAGTGTCGTCATGGCAAGTTTTTAGTGACAGTTCGAAATTAGTTTATGGACTTATTTAAATTTATACCAGTTTATTTTTATTTAATTTACCTACAATAGTTTAATAAATAATATTTATTAAATATGTATTTATTATTCTATCAAGAAAAACGAAGAAGTAGTTCTTTGATTTATTTTACGATGACTATTATATATGGTTTTTCGATAAAAGAGCCAATTACGGCAAATTCATCTTCTTTACTTTCAACGACAGGTTTCTGCCTAATAGGTTATTTATAAACCATACTACCAGCTCTGCGAAATAGGACAAGTAGTTTTTCAAAGGAACGCTTATCAGGAAGATTCCTATGAGCATAAGCCCTTGAGGCCAAGAAGCAATTTTCCTCAACTTTCCGTATTTTTCTCATGCTAAATCAAAAATGTGATGAAATAATATTAAATATAAGAGTTTATTTTTAAAAAACTTTAAATATAAATAATCAATAATAAATATCTATTCCAGAACACGGTTGTTAAGTTCAACTTAGTAATTCAATATTACTATGTATAACCATGGTACAAAGAATACAAGGTATGATCGATAGCGGCTCCAATTTCGTTCAGTTCGCGCATACCACCTGTGACGTCACTAGGAAAATGAGGAATAAATAAAAAATAAAGAAAGTTGACAGGAGATCTGCATTTTTTGGGGTTATGGTTAAGAATTGTTTATTTTTAAGACTTTTTAGTTCGTTTAATTTAATAATTACTAAAACCAGAAGTTCCAAAAAAATATATTTAAAAATAATAATTATCTATTAACATGGATTTGGACTTTGGACCATAATAGGTAAGAATACTAAATTTATTTCTATATTTGGTACCTATAAAATTGTTTATTAGGTTTTTAGTTTGCGATGTTTATGGTAAATAATTTTCATGTTCATTGCCTCTGATTTCACATAAGGACAGAGATGAGGATATAATATATGGAAAAGTAACCACAAGAGGAATTGTTACATCATTTATAAAATGTTGGGAATTTTATTGTTTCCCATCGAAAAGTAGAAAATGCCAATGCAGATGAATGTATTGTAATTGTGATAGAAGTAATTCCAAGGGTGAAGTTTATTATAATTAGTGGAAGTAATTCCAAGGGTGAAGTTTATTATAATTAGTGACCTGTGCTTTTCTTTTTATATGTAGATGTTTCTGGTTTTGAGAATAAATCCGTTGAACGACACCCAAAATTTAGAGGAAGTATTTGCATACCCAGAATATGCCCATCAAAGATTATATAGCTCAAATTTCCTTTAATGGTAGGCAATTATTCAATGCAAATTAACTTTTTAAGTGACTGAAATATTAAATAGTTTACAATATGGTATATCATTAAAAATATATTACTTTTAGGTACAATTAGGGCCTGATACATTTCAAAAAGTAGAATATTATTTTATATTAAATGAGGTATTGTACCAACAGTCAATTTATATTAATACCGGAGATGAAAAAATAACAGAATAAATAGTTCTTTTTTTATACTACAAAAATAAACTATAGAATACAACAGTATTTAAAAAAATAAATAAAAAGTTATGTCCCGGCCGAGATTCGAACTCCGGTCTCTCGCTTCCTAGCCCAACTCCTTACGCACTGCTCCACAGTAACTTGCTTAGCGATAATTCAATGACGGTATATAAACAAAAAAACAGGTTTATAACAATACCTTGACGATTTGAACTGGCGCGCGGAGCGTGCTGACCAATAGCGCCTGTTATCACCTGTGACGTAGCAACCAACCTGCGCAATATCATACCTTGTATTCTTTGTACCATGATTTATAACATTAAAAAAATATAAAAAGTATTAAATAAAGCCGCAAAAGTGGCAGAATTAATGAATGAAAATTCCAGAAATATTACAAAATTTCAGTAGTAGCCGCTACCTTGCTGTTTACTCGAAAGAATTCTTATTCAATGAGGCGCATACAAGGTCGTTACGGATTACCGCGTATATAAATGATCTCTGTTATTAATTTTTTAATATAGTCTATTGCGCTAATACCCAGTAATCTCTGAACTCTTTAAACAGAAATTATATCCAATTTTTTTTTCAAACTATACAGGGTGGTCTGAATTCCGAACTGTATTCCGGAAACTTCAGCAGCATATTCTGGACACAAAAATAAATAAAAAAGTTCATATATACCGGGTGCGTCTCAAAAATGGCTCACCCCCTATAACTTTTTTATTTTTTCAGATAAAAAAACGAGATTTGGTATGTTAGTATAATACATAAATTATTAGGATTAATTGACGTATTCAATTGTTTTGGTCACTTCCTGTTTCAACGGAAATGAATACAACTTTTTTTTACTTTATTAGATAAAAAATGACACTATGAATAGAATGACATATCATATGTCAACTTTTGACATTTTCGCATATGGTTTATTTGAAATTGTAACAAGCGTTTCATAACGACAATTTGACTCGAAATACCAAGTGTGTGGTATCAAATTATTCGTAAAAAATTTTATTTTTTTTCCAAATATGACAATGCACCACCCTTGTTCCATTTCAAAAAATTGAGATATGATTAAAAATACGATTAGGTCATCTTTTAACTGGCCAGAACAAGACACAAAAAACATTAGACGATCAAATCTATTCTTCCAAGGCTTCTTGTTTAAAAATTAGTGTTTTTAACACAGCCATGGCACTCTCAATTAAAATTTAAAATATGATTTTTTTTAAAGCAAAAACGTCAAAAGTTGACATGATATGTCATTATATTCAGAGTGTCATTTTCCATCAAATAAAGTAAAAATATTCGGCAGCATATTAATATAAGTGTGCCATTTAAAAATCAAAAGTTGTAGTCATTTCCGGTGAAACAGGAAGTGACCAAAAACAATTGAATACGTCTATCAATCCTAATTTACATACAGAACGTCTGTCCGTCCTGTGGCTACGGGGTATCCGTAGAGGGGAAACGATATTCTCTCGATGTTTTTCGTAAAAAATTAGACGACGCGTCCAGGGCCGTATCTAGACCAAAATTTCGGGGGGGGTTCAAAAGCTACTAGGAAAAAAGCATAATAAAAAAATCGCTTTGGGCTACACTCAAATTTTAATTGAAAATAAAATTTTAAAAAAGTAACAGGTAAAAATCATGAATTTTAAAGGATAAACTGCACGTTTCTAGTCTTTTCCCTGGAAAAACGATTGACTACCTCTTCTATATCAACATTTATTTCTCTATGTACGCTTAATAGAGCAAGTCCTGTCAATCGCTCCTGACCTGTAGAGTTACGTAGGAAGTCCTTCAATCATCTTAGGGTTGAAAAAGACCTTTCTGGTGTAGCTGTTGACACTGGTAGAGTTGCTAGAATCTTCAATAAAATGTATATATTTGGATATATACACTGGTTACACTCCGATATCGTTTCGATGGCGTTTTTAGGTCGGTCGACTGCAGGTAGCTGCTTCCATTTCTGCCGCCACAAATCTAGTTCTGCCGCTAAAGTGTCATAGTCCAAAAATTGTTTGTATAGGGAAAGGTCCTCTAGTTCCACTTTGTGTACAGCACATACATTTGGTAATAAGTAATGTAGAGAGGACAATGATTTTTTGTGCTTCGCAAATCGTTCAGTCAACTGATGTATGAAATCGTCCAAAAAAGGAATTGCAACTGTAATTCGAAAATATTCCTCTGGGCTCGCTACCATGATGTTAGAACGATTTTTCTGACGTGCAACTATTCTCGGAATTTGAATATGCTCTTGTGCATCTATTGATTCTCTCGATCTATTGTTTTTTGGCTTTTTCAAAAATGTTGCTGAACACTTGATCTATGTTATCTCTCATACTTTTAAGTTGACTTAAAACAGTATCAACATGTTCCGTTGCTGAAAAGAGATCGATGTTAACTGTCTGAAGAATTCTGCATAAAGGTAGGGTATACGCGAATAAAGTAGTTGCGGTTAACATGCTGATAATAAAGTCACCGGTCATAATGGCATGATGTAACTGTGTAGCCTTTGAGGACGTCTCTATATCTTTCACTACTTGTAGTTCTTCCAGTGTTTCAACAAGAGGCTTGAAAATTTCTGTAAACCTAATTAATCCGTCGTGATTTTCCACCCATCGAGTTTCACACATGGTTGTCAACTTCTTCCATTTATTATCAGGGGCATGTTCTTTAATTTTATTTTGTAGAATATCAGTCCGCTTTGCTGACATTTTTATGAAGATTGCAACGGATTTGATGGTTCCAATACAATTTCTGACGCTTTGGACATTGCAGCAGTGAGCCAGAGCTAAATTTAGAGAATGTGCACTACAATGCACGTATAATGCTGCTGGGTGTTTTTCTCTTATTATTGCTTGTACGCCTTTAAAGCTGCCGCTCATGGCTGCAGCCCCATCATAACCTTGCCCAACCAAATAAGTACAATCTATCTTGAGTTCTTCTAAACACTCTAACATTACCGTCGCTAAATCATTCCCAGTTGTACTATGAACTTGCACAAATTGTAGAAAATCTTCACGCATAATATAGACTGGATTGCCGTTCTGCTCATTGGAGTCAATGTACCTCACACAAAGGGATAACTGCTCGATCCGGGAAATATCCGTAGTCTCATCCATCAAAATTGAAAAATATTTGGATTTATTTATTCTGGAAACAATTTGTTCTTGTATCATTTTTCCGCAAATTTGAATTATATTATTTTGAATGATTGGACTTATATACATGGCATTTAAAGATTGACCTTCAATGTGCTCAATCAAATCTTTATCCCCACATGATAGGCGCATACGCAGTAATGCCCGGAAATTCCCATCATTATAAACAGGCTCTATGGAATTTAAAGTCAATGGACCAGAATCGTTAGTTCCACGTAGAGCCAACTCTTGGCGTCCACAGAGTATAATAGTCTCGATTATAGGTTTTAATTTTTTTCTATTGTCCGCTATTTGTTTTGCACGACTAGAGTCAAGTTGCATCACAATATCTGGGGCCGATCTGTTAAAAGTGGCTACAAAATTATCAGCGAAGACGGTACTTTTCTTATGATAGTCAGTATTACTATGATGCACGAATGTCTCTATGGCGTCCTTCCAGTTATTGAAGGGTTTTACAACCAAGGAAAACAGCTTTTGGTGACTACCTTTGCCATTAAATTCAGACGCAAATATTGCGCAGTACTTACACACTGCACCTTGATCACCATGATTATTGTAACTAGGCCACGGAAAACGTTTTAGCCAACCTATTTGAAATTTTAGGTTCCTTTTCTTTGAAACAGGAAAATTATATTTTTCATCTGGAACCCACGGAGAGGTCAAAAGTCTAAATTTTACTCCGTCATCTAGTTTTTCAGTAAAACAGCAGCCGATATCTGAATTATCAAATTTGGTTTGATTCCTTGTATTTACTTCTATCAGAGTCTGAATACAATTTGGTGCAACTTCTAAAGTGGGAGTATCTGTACAAATTGCTTGGCTAGAACTAGCAGCTTCTTCAATAGATTCAGAAGAAATTTTGCTTTTTTTACAAAAAAAATCCGTCAGTGAACTCTGGACATTACGTTTTGCCATTTTAAATTCTACAAGCAATAAAAGTGCGCTATTAGGAAAATATAAAATATTTGGCTTTGCATCATTGTACAGTGGCGGCTGCTGCTGAATTGGTATAATGAAAAATTTAAGTAAAAACGTATAAAGTAAAAATTCATATTAAACTGAATATCGACATCGAACATCGACATCATCTGCCGATAATGTACTCGTTAGGTTACACGAGAGAAAAAAGACAGTAGATTAGAACTATAGTTAAACTAACGCTTCGTCCTACGTGGGAGACCAAAGCGCGCGATTTGGGCGGTGCGAGCGACGCGTATTTATCAAATAACGTTTTCTTAAGCCGCGAACGCATACGGCCGCATCGCTTAGAACGAACGAATTCGGAAAATGTGTACGTAGCAACGAACGCATACATTCGCGTGCGGTTACGTTCGCTGACTTGGCGGTACTTCAAAGGGAATACTACCGCACGCAAACAGATGTATGATGCGTTCACTAGGTGTGTACGTAACAGCGAACAGCGAAAAAATACTTCAAACAAAATCACGGCATGTGTGCGGGATTTGATCGAACGTATGCGTTCGCTAGGTGTACGCGGCTTTACGAAGCTGACCTAGGTAGGAGAGTCGCGCGACTGAAGCGGCATCGCAGGCAATTTAAATATGTCGCGCTAGTCGCGCTCATCGCCCTCTGTTGTCGCACGCGTCGCTCGTTCGCTTTTGTCGCCCACGTAGGACGAAGCCTAAAACTACCTGAAACTATACCCATACTATCAAGAATGTACATATTACCTCACAAACGGCAAAACCGCCACCATAAAACAAAATACCAATTCACTCACCTTCTATGAATAGCAGAACAATAACAAACGTTAGTCACGTTAATGACCAGCAAAACACACAACATTCAAAATTTTGACCTTGTCAAACTTTTGCTGTTTTAAACACTTGAAAGTTGAAAGTCGAAAATGACATTTGCTGTCAAAGTGGAAAAGTGAAGTTAGTGCATAGAGAAAGTAATAAAAAGAGAGATGCAGATTGCATAGTAAAAATTGGAATCGCATTCACTAGCGCTGCTGTGACAACAGGACAAACTAATTTAAAAAAATTTGGCGAATGCGCCGGAGAATATATATAAGCTTGCTTTACTTTATTTGAAACTTTTATTCAGGTTTGACTTTATCTTCTTCTTCGTTGACTTTATCTTCTTCTTCTTCTTTTTTTCTTTCGTTCTTACTTACTTAATGATCATTACTTTTTAAAAATTTTCGGCCATAATTTCGGGGGGTGGTTTGAACCCCAAACCCCCAGATACGGCCCCGGACGCGTCCCATCAATAAAAATTCGACAAATTTGCAAGTAGCCAATAAAATGAGTGGACGGAGCGATTAGCGGTGACGTACTCGTCAAGTCGACGTATAAAATATATTGTTGTTTATTTAAATGTTTTTTGTCCGCATTCCTTTCGTAGACACAGATCCAGCAGACGAACTGTATGTATTATACTAACATACCAAATCTCGTTTTTTTTATCTGAAAAAAATAAAAAAGTAATAGGGGTGAGCGACTTTTGAGACGCACCCGGTATATATATATATATATATATATATATATATATATATATATATATATATATATATATATATATATATATATATATATATATATATATATATATATATATATATATATCCTAAAATATATATATATATATCCTAAAATACTTAGTTTCGGGGATACAGAGTGTAGAAGTTTCATTTTTATTTCGATTTTTTCCAAATAATTTCTAAAGTAAAGTCAATATTTGGGTGAAAATTGGTATCTGCGAGTTTTTGACATTCAATATGACTCCTACTTGTAGAGGGCGCCACCTACATATTTTTAACTGGTTTGAAGACTAATAATTTTTCATCCGTACCTGTACAAAACTACTGACTTTTTTTACTTATAACAGGGTGTTTCAAAAAACATGTGCCATCTCTCATGGGAAGATTCCTTACGTAAAAATAAGATTTATTTTTCATATCAACATAGGTCCGATTCTGCTTTGTTTCGTAACTACAGGGTGTTAAAGTATTATTATTTTTTCCATTTATTATAATTTTCTTCCAAGTACTTTTAGCGTTTCGAATGAAATTTTTAGGGTAAGTTGGTTTGGTTTGGTTTGGTTTGGTTTGGCAGCATCGGACCTATGTTGATATGAAGAATAAGTCTTATTTTTACGTAAGGAATCTTCCCATGAGAGATGGCACATGTTTTTTTTTTCAACACCCTGTATAAAAGCAAGTTCGTCACTCGATATTTTTGATATATTATTCAACAGTATATCTCTAGAATCGCTATTGCAATAGTTTTCTTCGCTATTTTACGTTCAACTAAATATCTAGAAAAAAAATTATTGATAGACAAGTACCTATGTCCCTTTTAAATTTAACTCACATGTAAAAAGGGAATAATGATCTTACGCTATTCAACGAGGCCATGGACCAGTGAGGTTAAAAAAATTGAGCAGTTCACTTGAACTCATATGTAGGACAATTTTTTTGACAGGGTTATTTGCTGGCAGATAAGGCGTGATAGTATCGCTTTGCGAAGTGAACGTTTAATAAATTATTCTAATATATTCTGATAAAATGTATCGGTAGGTTTCGATTAGGCTTTCTTAATAAAATGGAGCTAATCAGATTGGACGACACGCGTCGGTTTAATTTTACTTTTAATTACTGTTTGATGAAGAAATTATTTTATTAGTGTTTTTATTAAATATGGTTTATTAAAAATTGCATCAAATTGCGTCTTTAAAAATTTGTTTCTCTTTAGTATATCTCGTAACTGTTAATGACAGATTTTTTGAATACCTACTATTTATGAGGTGGGGTCGATATTTTACTTAATGCAGTAATTTAATCCTTCCAAAACTGCAGTGGGGAAGCTATGGGAAGTGATGGGGGTAGAGGGGGGGATTTGGTTTGTGGGGAATGCTCCCCAAAACTCAATTATACATTGGGGGAATGCTCCCCCCAATGTATAATTGAGTTGGGAAATTAGTTATGACAACGCGACGTCTAAATCCCAAATTTGTCAAAAAAAAAACAAAATATGCCGCTGCACTAATGCTCGGTAAAATCCCCTAGTCTAATAAGCCGATGAGACTACTCGGATGTGGCGTCCTCGGCCGGAACGTACATAAATTGTACTAAATACAGAGATATAGATATCTATATCTCCGACTAAATAGCGTTTTCGATTTATGCGCTAAGGGTAGTCCTATTTCTTATTATTGTACGTCACTAAAAAGAGATAGAAATTACTTTCATATGACGCTCAAAGTAGGGCCACAGGCACACGCCACACTTTTGTGTTCTTTTTATTAATCAAATTTTGGTTGGCAACAACGCGTTCTGCTGAACTGGAGTCTGGAGTTCCCCGTTTGTGCAAGTTGCAGTTATATGTTATAAATAACTGCAACTGTATTCAATTATTGTTTTTGGTCATTTCCTGTTTCACCGGAAATTACTACAACTTTTGATTTTTAAATGGCATCCCCGGTATATTTTTACTTTATTCAATAGAAAATGATATTCTGAATAGAATGACGTATCATATGTCAACTTTTGACATTCTCGCTTAATAAAAAAATTAGTATTTTAAATCTCAATCTAGAGTGCCATGGCTATGTTAAAAACACTAATTCTTAATCAAGAAGCCTTGGAAAAAATATATTTGATCGTCTGATGTTTTTAGCGTCATGTCCTGGCCGGTTAAAAAATGCCCATATCATATTTTTAATCATATCTCAATTTTTTCACATGGAACGAGGGTGGCTCATTAACATATTTGGAAAAAGCATTTTTTTACGAATAATTTGATACCACACACTTAGTATTTCAGGTCAAATTTTCGTTACGAACCACAAGTTATACTAGTTTCAAATAAACCATATGCAAAAATGTCAAAAGTTGACATATGATATGTCATTCTATTCAGAGTGTTATTTTATATCGAATAAAGTCAAAAAATAACGAGGGTCCAATTTAAGTATCAAAAGTTGTAGTTATTTCCGGTAAAACAGGAAGTGACCGAAAACAATTGAATACGTCAATCAATCCTAATTTATGTCAAATACATATCAAATCTCGTTTTTTTAACTGACAAAATAAAAAAGTTATATGGGTGAGCCACTTTTGAGACGCACCCGGTATCGCTTGTTAATATTAGTTATGATACTTAAGGAATCTTTACACAAAATTTTTCACTTTCAGATCATAATATCGAATTTTCAGTCAAACGCTTAAGAAAGCTTCGTATTATCTAAAAAATGTTAATACCTCTATTTTGGTATTTATCCCTAATTTATTTACTTAGGGAATAAACGAGGGGTGTCTCATTTGGATAAAATGTACATGTACTGCCAAAATATCATTTTACTGCCAAGCGACTGCCAATGACTGCGAAGAAGCCTGCCTATGTCTGCCATATAATTATAGTCGACTGACGCCAACGACTACCAAGAAAATGCACAACTCTTTTTCAGTCTTTTCTGAAATTCGCAATAATGCCACTGTTAATTTAAGTTCTTATACTAAAGCTTAAAAAAAATCTTCACCGTTTTACTTTAAAAAATTCTTAAAATTTATACTATTATCATATATTTAATAAATATATTTTTTCCGCTTCAAATTACGTAAAAAAGTAAATATCAACCTTAAAGTAAACTTAACGCATGACTGCCCATTACATTAGATATGTCTCGTTTTGTTTTTAGGATGCGGTTAACGTGTGACGGTTATTTTTTTCTAAATCTAGAGGTCTAGGTAAAGAATTTTATTATAAATAGTATGCACGAAGTTAATAATATCAGTATCACTACATTGTCCGTGTCCAAATATACAAGTGTATTTTTTTTAACCATTATTGGAAAATGATTTTTAGAGTAAGTTTTAAACCGAATATTTTATAAGTTGCTTTTGGCTAAAAACTATTTACCAATAACAAACTTCTTTCATGTCTTAATAATTTTTGCAGTATACAGATTATGTTATAATATAATACTATACACACCTGTTCCGAAAAGATACCTACTTTATTTGCATACAAAATTATATTTTCTAATTCATGACCGTTGTTTTTAAAAACCGTTATTTGATAGTTTCCATCTTTCCATCTCCAAAACGATGAAAAAATGTTTGCTTAGAAATTAAAAAGTGAAAAAGTAAAGTATTAAGTGTTAAGGTCTCCCTTCAAAAAAGTCCAAATTGGTGTTTAACGCCTCTTTTTTGCTGGTAAGGCTAATCTGGACGGCGCGGCGGCGCCTTAAACATTTCAGTTGATTTTGAAAAAGCCAGTTGGTTTTGACTACGTTAAAAATAGAAAATACCTCAAAAAAAATAAATCAGGCTTTCAGCAACAAAATAAGTAATACATGTAATATACAGGGTGGTCCGAACTGTATTCCGGAAACTTCGGCAGCATATTTTGCAGATGAAAATAACTAAAAAAGTTCGTCTAAATGTATGTCCTAAAATACTTAGTTTCGGAGATAGGGGGTGTAGAAGTTTCATTTTTATTTCTATTTTTTCCAAAATAATTTGTGAAGTAACGTATATATGGATGAAAATTTGTGTCTGGAAGTTTTTTTTGACATGAGAAATTGATTTTGATGTATATACTTCAACACAGTTAAAACCTTTGAATAAGAAGACTAAGGAAGGAGCATATCAAAAATCTTAGGTACACCGCGATGGGCCTCAAATATGGCCGACTTAAATTCCGGTTTATCAGTGCCGTTCTAATTTTATTTAAAAAATGTAAAACTATGATGTAGGGTAGACGTGGGGTAGACTCTATAATTTGTTATTTTATTTTACGTTGTGAATAAATGTTGGTAGTTATTAAAATTGTTATAAAAATATATAATTCTAATAAAAATAGATAAGTTATAATAAGTATTTATTAACACAAACATCCGATACGCTACTGAAGCAGGTAAGTCAAATTAACGTATCAAAATTCTTTGACATCTGATCTTTGACAAGTAGTAAATAAAAGCTAAAATGCAAGAAAAATATATAATTTAGTTAATTTAAGTGAATTTCATAAATGATCGGTTTACTACACGTATGTATAGTCACTAGCATATATAGTCACTAGCAAAAAGTTGTTCCATTATTTCACTCAATTTTTGCCGAGATCTACCTCACGCTACACAACCAACTATTTTAGAGTCTTTTTCGATAAATCGCGATAGTGTCACAATTTAAGTTCTGCCACAATTTCCATCTAGATTTACTACCTTTATACAACTATCAGTAGTAGAATAAATAATAAATAACATAAAATAAGCTCCGTAAAGACTGACAAATCCACAAAATTTCAAATCAAATTCAAATGTGTCAAATGAATCGTCAAACAGAGCTGTCAAGGATCCCCACCCTAGAGTGCTTTTTCCGCCCACCATGCATGAATACATGGATAGCATTATGCTCCTTCCTTAGTCTTCTTATTCAAAGGTTAAAACACATGTATGTGGCGCCCTCTACAAGTAGGAGTCTGGAGAGATACTGACATCAAAATCAAATTTCTTCTAGTCTAGACTAGGCTTGGTCTTGCTTTTTCTGCAAGACCTCGCTCATAACTAACAAAGTTTAAAAGAGTGTTGATTAAAGAACATCAAATAGGTTTTATTTTCAAAGAAGCAAGTACCTATTTCGAACACTGCGTGAATGATGTCCTTGTCATAATTTCAACAATTTTTTGGCAGTTGTAAAAACTATATTTTATGGGGTATATTTTAGATTTTGGCACTGACTACGCTGGTCAGTACCTGCTATGGAGTTCTCAAACCATATCCAGAAGCGAGTGTTAATTATGTAGATGGTTATAACTATGAACCTTACGGTCACTTGGGTGAGGAATATGGTTATGGACATGGATACGGTCATGGATATGGTCACAGTCACGGCTACAAGAAGGATTATCACGTAAGTAAAGTTAAAGATGTTAGAAATCATTGAATATTATAGAGGGTGTTTCAAAAGACATGTGCCATCTCTAGTGGAGAGATTCCTCATGTAAAAATATCATCTATTTTTCATATCAACATAGGTCCGATTCTGCTTTGTTTCTTCAGGGGGTTAAAATATTAATTTTTTCCATTTATTATAATTTTCTAAGTATTTTTAGCGATTTGAATGAAAATTTGAGAGTAAAAGATATACACACAACCAAACTTATATGGAATCATCTATTATTTTTCATAATTTTTGAGATGTATGAAAATTTTGTGTTTATGAATAAAACTCAGTCCTTACCAATGACTTTTAATGAAAAATAATCCATATAGCAATAAAATAAAATAATCAGTTTCCAAAATAAACAAAATGGTATTTTTTTTGGTTTCTGAAACGAAATTGAGATTTAAATTTTTAAAAAGAAAATTGATAATTTTAATATTCCTTGTTGCCACCTCTAGCCCTTATGCAAGCTTCTATCCATGCTGACATGCTTCTTATTAAATTATCCACGTTGTCTTGGGGTATGTTTTCCCATTCTGGTAATGCTGCATCAATAAGCTGTGCGAGATTTTCTGGATCGTTTCGACGAGCTCTAACCCTTCTTTTGAGCTAGTTCCACGATAGTCCCAGTGTTCGATAGGATTTAGATCTGGTAAATAGGCAGGTCAGTCCAAAACTGTGACACCTTCCGTTTCAAGACATTCTCTAGTCACTCTGCTGGTATGGGGAGATGCACTATCGTGCACGAAGTTAAGATTATCCCCAATTGCAGCTCTCCAAAGACTAACGATTGGTTCTAGCACGAAATCAACATATCTCCGACCCGTCAAAATTTGTTGAAGTGGTAACAATGGAGTTTTTGCTCCCAGTATAATACCCCCCCCCCCAGAACATTACAGTTCCTCCTTTATATCTTGGTACAGATTTGGCAGTCTGAAGTCTCGCTCGTCTTCATGGAGCTCTGAGAACCCGAATTCGATGGTTATCTGATCTTAGGCCAGTTCTTGTCTCATCCGAAAAAAGAACATTTTGCCAATTCTCAGTTGTCTAGTTTTGATGTTGAAGGCGTCAACTTAGCCGGTCAATTTTATTTTGCCGAGATAACTGTGGGATCCGTAACTCTTTCCTACTGTAAAACCCTCGTGCATGAAGCCTTTCTCTTATGGTTTCAACTGAAACGTTCACACTTGTAGCTGCCAAAAGTTGTCTTTGTAGCTCTGGATGAGAAACATTGGGATTTATTCTAGCAATTTAGCACACAAGGCGGTCTTGTTGTTCAGTTGTGACTTTTTGACGACTTTGTCTGGGCCTATCCTTGTGTGTTCCTAATTCCAAGTACCTTCCATATGTTTTCGATACAACACCTGGGTAACGCCTACTATCTCTGCTACGTCGCACTGGAACATTCCTTGTTCGGTGAAAGTAATAATTCTTCCCATTTTGTACATCTGTTAATCTTAAAGTTGTATACCAATTTTTATCCTTGCAAGAAATTTAGTCAAAAATAAAGAATGATTCCATATAAGTTTGGTTGTGTGTAAGTGCGACATATTTTAATATTAAAAAGGTGTCGACAGGTTCACCAGGGACGTGCATACGCAGGTTATCACTGGAATATTTTTCTAAAAAAGTGTGCGCCACTGACTTTTTTCTTTTGTTAGCAGATTTGAGTAGGCCATTTAATGCCGATTAAAAGTTGTCTTTTAATATTTTGTCGATTTCAGTCTCCTTAGCGAGATAAACACAGTGTTATTAGTTTACCTTAATACTTTCACACTGGACGCGCGTTTCGCTAACCATGTTAGCATCATCAGCAGATGATCAAGATTCAACTTGCCAGTTTTCCCAAAAGAAGTGTCATTCATAAATAAAGGAAATAAATTTAGATGGGAAAGCCCGTCAAAATATATAATTGTTTTGGTTCGCGTGTACGTGATCTGGCGCTGCTATAGCGGTTGCTAAGAACAACCGCAAACAATAACAGAAATAATTTTCTCTTGTCAAAGTCAGAATCTTCAGAAATTATAAATCTTTTTAAAATTTAAACCGCCCATTGAAAAAATACCGAAAAGCGTTTAAAGCGTCCATTCTCAAAGTAATTATTAATTATTGCTATCTTGTGAGTTTAATTTAAATTTTACTTACTCAAATCCGTGATAATTGTAAAAAAGTGGCATTAAAAACTAAAAAACTGTGTTGTGAACTGTGAACTGCAAAAACCATTGTGGATCGTGGCATAACGTCGGTTTCCAATGTTTCAGATATTTCACATGCATGTCCTTATATAAAATAAAGTTTCTTGTATGCAACACACTGTATTTTATTTATAAAATTAAAAGAAAATAATAATAAATTTGAATAAAAAATATTTGGCGACATAATTCCGGAAAAAGCCGAACCGCTCCGAAATTTTCAAAAGCTTTGGGTCGCGACCGTTCCAAGAATGTGGGTACTTTCCAATCTAAACTTGTTTCATTTATCTGTATTGTGTTATTCCCCTGTGCCCACAAGAGCGTCCGCATACAGGTCGTCTGGCTTTCCAAGTCTACCTTTGTACGTAAATAATAGTATCAATCTCTTCGACTCCGCGTCGACCGCCAAACGACCTATTCGTGAACCTACTATTATTTACGTAGGAAGTAGAGTTCGAGACGTTTCCGCTTCGAGTTTGAGACGACCCTTGTGTGCATGGTCTAAATCGCATTTTTAATAACTTCCAATTTCATTCCAGTCTTATCCAAAATACAAATTCGGCTACGGCGTCAGCGACCCACTCACAGGAGATCACAAGTCTCAAGAGGAACATCGAGACGGCGACGTTGTCAAAGGACATTACACCGTTGCCGATCCAGACGGTACCCTAAGAGTAGTTCATTACATCGCCGATCACAACGGATTCAGAGCTGTGGTCGAAAAACACGGCGAGTCGGTTCATCCGCAACCAATACATCACCCTCCGGTAGTTGAGAGAGTCGTACCTGTAGTTAAAGAAGTTGTGCCTGTAGTTAAAAAGATAGTGCCAGTAGATAAAGAGGTCGTTTACGAGAAACCGTACCATTATGGGAGTGGGTATGGGGGATATGGTTATGGTCACCACAATGATCCCTATGGATATTAGATTTATTTTTGCATGTATTCTTGTGCCGTTTATTTTGAACTATAATGTCTTGTATATTAGATTTTTTATATTTATTGTTTTTTAAGTAATAAAAAATGCCAAAGATTTAACAAAATGTTTATAATGTACAGGGTGTCCCACTAAGAATAGCTCTCGGCTGTATCTCGGAAAGTATTAGCCATAGGGCCTGCGGAAAAAAATATTTATAACTAAAGAGGTTATGAGAACTTGCTGGAAATTATTTTCAAGTTTGTAGAACAACCGCTAGGGGGCGCAACTCCAACAAAAAATAAGAAAATTTACACAATTTTGCCCAGATAAGGTGTACTATAAGTAATAGCTTCATAATCTTAAGTAAATTTTGAATATTTTTTGTTAGGACCATTTTCCCCATCTACCAAAATAAAGTGGTGGGGGGAGGTTAGTTCTGTTTTTATTTAAATATTAATAACTCCGGACTGGATGATCGGAATCCAACAAGCGAGGGCTCGTTTGAAAGAGCGTTTCTTACTCTATATTATACCATATAAACAATAATAATAAGCTTTTGAACATAGACGCTAGGGAGCGTTATCTTACAATTTAGCAAACATTGCGCGTTTTGTCAAAAAAATTAAATGCGATAGTATATGTAATTTTAGCTGATAGTAAAGAGTAATAAAAGCTTAACAAGTCAGCAAAAACCGCATCTTGATATCTTTTTTCAAACCAAAGTTATTAGCAAAATTATAATAAATACGAAAATATAAGCCCTTAATTACCTTATTTTTCTAACACGGTGTTACTAGCCCCGTTCCGAAACGCTCTTTTAAACGAGCCCTCCCTTGTTGGATTCCGATCATCCAGTCCGGAGTTTTTAATATTTAAATAAAAACAGATCTAACCACCCACTTTATTTTAGCAGATAGGGGAAAATGGTTCTAACAAAAAGATCCAAAATTTACTGAAGATTATGAAGCTATTATTCATAGTACATCGTAACTAGGCAATATTTCCTAAAAATTCCATTTTGTTATTGTCCATAGCAGTTACGCCCTCTAGCGACCGTCCTACAAATTTCTCATGGTCTCATTAGTTAAAAATATTTTTTTCCGCAAGCTCTACGACTAAGCTACATTCTAAATCAATTCGCTGGCCGAGTCGTACTTCGGCACGCAAGCTTATCTTATGTACTTCAGTGTACTCATTCACAACAAAATTCGACGCCAGAGTGCAAGTTGAAGTTGGATTGAAAGCTTGCAAGCTGCAAACTTCCACTTCAGCACGGAATTTTCGTTTGACAATTATGACAAATTTGACATTTAAATTTTAATAATTATTTTGTTTGTGTCGTTGTTACAAGCCATTTTCCTGTGAAAAGTAAATAATTATTAAAAGAAAAATGAGTAAAGGACGCTATTCTTATTTTCTTAGGACTTGTGGCTTTGCTGTTAAAAAAACGGCTATTATTGTTGCAGCTCAATAATTAGCTTGACCGAAAACCAAAGGGTTTACCAAAACCCAAAAAATGGGGTGTTCGACCCATATTAATGGCGAGAAAAAGTTTTGGGTGCTTGAGACACATTTTAGAAAAAAATCATCAATAAATGACGTTTTTGTTTCCATTTTTCTAAACATAAAAACTTGGAAAACTTAATTAACAACTGTCCCGAATTTTGACTCTTCCAAAATCAAAACCAACAACTAACCTAAAAAATGCCAGGAGAACGTTTAAACACGCATGCGCAAAATTCGAATTGAAATTTGTTGTGAATGATTAATTTCGTGCCGACTTTAACGTCGAAGTGCCACTCGGCCAGCGAATTGATTTCGAATGTAGCTTATACTTTCCGAGATACAGCCGAGAGCTATTCTTAGTGGGACACCCTGTACAAACCAATAGAACCTTTGTAGCAAATGTAATCAACTAAATAAAGATACCTATAAACATCAAACAGAACGATCCAAAAATAAAAATACCTATTTATTTTTATGTAGTTTAGGAAGTTGTGCCTGTAATTAAAAAATATTACCTGTTAAGTTAAAGACAAACTAAAGAGGTGGTTTATGAGTTTTATGTCAATTTTTAGTAAAGGGCCTATACTATAGAGATTGACCTCGCCAAAATTATCATCGATTGTCATTCCCCAGCCGTCTCTGACACCGTTTTTATTCGATAGTACTGTACTCATATTTATCTTAATAAAAGTTTTAAGATGTTTATTTTTTTACAATCTTTTGAAAGCACACTAAAACCATTTTTAGTTATTCTACTTATGAAACATATTAAACTATTTGTGATTGATTTAATTAAAAAATAATCTGAGCGTTTGTTACATTATGGCACGAATAATTTAATGACATGGACATAAGCCGGCCTTGACAGTGCTTTAATTAATTTATCAAAGAGGGTCACTTCACTTCGGTCCTATTAAGTAATTTCTGTTACGTAATGTTTGCCTTAAAAATATTTTGGTAATATATGCGAACGCAGGGTAGTTGGTAAGAAAAGGCGTGTTAGGCGGAACAGGCATATAAAAAAGCGGTCACATTTTTTCTAAGATCAGTTCCAAAATCGATCTGTTCATAGAAACTGTTCGGAGCCATATCACAATGTACAAAGTAAGTATCGTTTGTTGATTCAATTTAAATTATTTTGTATAATTTTAAAAAAATTAATTATAGACTACGCTAGGGTGATCCGAACTGTACTCCGGAAACTTCGGCAGCATATTCTGCAGATAAAAATAAGTAAAAGAGTTCACGTTGACTATTTTTAGAAGTATAAAGTTTTCCACTTTTTTACATTAATTAGTTTACGTTTAATAATGTTTTATCTTTTTGGTTGTTCTTTCTTATAAAAGAATTTGATTGTTATATATTCAATATATTCTTCCGATTGCGGATGTAACACCATCATTAAAACGAAAACTAACAATAAAAATATTAAATTTATAGGTATAGACTACTAAACTGTAATATAAAAAAAAAATTTACTTAATATTACCGCTTCATACTGTCAAATTCGATATTTACAAAAAAATCAATCTCTATTGCTATTAAAATTGGAAAAACGTAACAAAAATTTAATTGAGATTTAATATCACACCGACATAAATCATAATAATTTTTCAGTTCTACACTATCGCCGCTCTTTTAGTAGCTGTAAGCGCAGCGCCAGCCGAATACCAAGGTGCCACATCATTTGTCAAATTCAACGATAACCACAATGCCGTCAACCACATCCATTCAGCACCTGCTTACCAAGCTCCTTCGTATCACGCCTCAGCTGCTCCTGCCTACGCTGCACCAGCTGTAGCCAAAGTAGCTCTTCCGGCCGTAGCCAAAATAGCTGTACCTGTAGCTACCAAATACGCCGCTCCCGCCTCTCCAGCATACGCCTCGGCTCCTACTTATTCCTCCTCGTCAGCCTATTCTGCCTCTGCTCCTTCTGCTTATTCTTATTCTTCCGCTCCGGCTGTAGCTAAGGTAGCTGTCCCAGTAGCTAAATACGCCTCCGCTCCAGCTTACAAAGAAGAGGAATACGCTATCATTCCATACGAATTCGCTTACGCTGTACAAGACCCACACACCGGAGACTACCACTCGCAAGAAGAAAAAAGTGATGGGCATCACGTTGTTGGACAGTACTCCCTCCACGAAGCTGACGGAACCATCAGAATCGTAAAGTACTCTGATGACGGACATGGTTTTAATGCCGTAGTAGAAAAACAGGGAGAACCAGCCCATGCTCCAGGTGCTTATAAGAAAGTAGCTGCACCGCAATATTCTCATTAAGTATCTATGTTTTTCTCGTTACACCAGTTGTCACAAATATGGCGTTCGAAATGTGATATAATATTATATTTATTTGTTTATTTATTTATTAAAACCTGCAATGTTTATTTTTGGTTTTTATTTCTTATGTTACGTTACCTTCGAGATTACTAATTTTTATTTCCTCTTTTTTAATAAAATTAAAATATGGAATTTTCATATAAGTGTCAATTTTTACCGCTATCGAATCAAGCTTCATTGTTTTTCTTTAGAACAGAGTTGGTACTTCATTGCTTGGTTGGCTGTCAATATTTTCCAGAGTTTTGAATAACATAACTTCTTTAATTCTTCCTTTCTTTCAATACGGATTTCTGTAACTAAGTATGCCACTAATGCAACTTCTTACAAAAACGAAAAGTATTTGAACTTGAAATACGCTTAATCCACTGCCAGTTTCTTCAATCTGACTATTAGAAAAGGTAAATATTTTCTAAAGATATCAACCGCGGGCTTGGGGTAAGCTGGCAACGCTGAAAAAATTCATCATGGCATCCCGGTTTCAACCGACCTAATTGGTGGGGATTCTATCACGTTTCATTGCTAGACGGTAGCCATGCGCATATAGTTTTCTTATTGGCCAGGGTTACCTCAATTTTATACCCCTCACTGGGAATAGAGTAAATTGACTAATATTGTAGTATCCAGTGGCAGTCTTATTGTATTGTATTTTATACCTTTAACTTCATTTATGCATATTATAATTAGTACACGTTTTTCTAACAACTATTAGTTATATTTAGCAAATCACTAAACAAAATGTAGATACATTTAAAGTAAAAGAATATTATAAAGTTTGTTGGAAAATATCTTAGAAATTCTTTATATATTTTCGCCAAAACGCCGCACGATGCTGAATGTTTTATGAATGAAATCGGTCATATCTTTAAAAACTGCTTTTACTGTTGTCCCGTATTTTCAGATCCGTTTGCCGGACTGTAGTAAAGCTAGAACTGAATTTTCGTCTCTACGATTATTATAGGCTAGTAAGCGAGGGTTTTAGGGTCCGAATTCTGAACACCTCTACCGATTGAAGTGAAATTTTAACAGTGAATAGAGATATATGTAAGAAATAAAAGTTACATAGTAGCGATGTGTGCTTTCACCCTGGGGGTGAATGTCACCCCTTCTCGGGGGTGAAAAATAAATCACCCATTTTAATTGCAAAAATCAATAAAGGGATGAATTCTAAGCAAAAAATGTTCTATAACATTTTTTCAGAAAATTAATATTTTCCTAGTTATTTGGGATTGAATATGTTGATTTTTCATTTAAAAACTGCATATTTTTCTGCCATTTTTTATAAATAACTCGAAAACCTTACGTTTTATCGCAAAACTTTTTAAAGCAAAAATGAATCTTTTGGAATAACTAAACGATTCATCTTTTTTTGTTGATTATCGTAGGTGTAATAATAACCGAGGTATCACTCTGTAAAGCTGATTTTTTATTTTTCGAAAACGGCGGAAGAACACATTTTTAGAAAAAAATGAATTTTACCGTTTTTAAAGTGCTTGAAAAGACCTTTTAAATGCTTTCTTAAAAAAGTTCGTAACTCAAAAAATCGCGGAGTTATGATAAAAATAAAATGGCCACCTCATTATTTCTGAAAAAATTAACAACAAAATCTATGACCAAAATTATAAAATTAAAAACTAAGCGTAATACATGTACAGTTGGCTATATTTAGGTACTAACAATGGGCTTTGCAAGTTCGAGCGATTTAGAATGCCTAAATTTGGAAAAAAGTTGAAAATAATGAAACATTTTATTTTTTATCTTTTTTATTTTTTTGACATATCTCAAAAACTACAAAAAAATGGCTCATCATCAATTCTGCTGCAGCCCGTATATAGGCGTTACATGTCCTTGTATTCTTTAGTCATTGTGGGTTAGAACATAAAGGCGAGCTAACTCATTTTTAATAGCAATACTAGGAAGGAGGGGATTGCGTCGTGCAATTAGGGATATTTGACGGTCTTGCACGGCAGTAGTAACTCTCTTTCTACCTCTTCCAGGCCGGTCTGTAACCTCGTTTGACTCCCTGATTTTTTTTAATATTCGCGAAACATCACTTTGGTTAACTCCTACAATTTCAGCTATTGCAACTTGCCGGTAGCCTTATTGAGACAGTGTTACTATTCTATAGGACTCTATTAAACTGTGAAATAATGTTTCTAGGCATTTTAAGGCCAAGACAATGGTCAAATTTCTTCTGAAACCCAAGAAACCACAAATCGAAATGTGCAAGAATTTGTAATAATATTGGATCTGAACGATAAACATTGTTTACCATATTCATTTTAACAAAAAAATGTTATGAAAGATACAGATTATGAAAGCTATGTATAATAAAAGATTCTTTAAATTCCTTTCCGTATATTTTTAAATGATATATGCAATAATTTTGGCCATGTGTGTAAGTTGAACAAATATATCAGGAGTAATAGAATCCATTCATATTGTTTATTTAAATTGATAAAAGGATTTATCAATAAAATTCTAGGACTCGTTTTTACACGAAAACATCTTAATCTTGAGATAAGATAATGTTTTCTAATAAAAACGAATTCAAACCGATATCTGGAGATATTGAGTATAGATAGACAGTTTAAGTATAGCGTAGTGTTATACTTGTTTCAAAAAGACCTCACGAAATACTGCATAAAAGATGTCTTCGAACAAGTCAACTACAGCATTTAGTTATTTACCTTTGGAAACTAGGTTTTATATCAATATGGTCGCTGAATCGTTAATAGAAGTAAGAAATAAATCCATTAAATATTGCGTATATTTAGAACCAACAAATGAATTGCCAACTGTATCTATAGCATATCAATATCAACATGATAAAACCTTACATTGGTGTTGTGATATTTTTGATTATAACGATTGGTCAGAGGCAACCGTAAATGAAAAGATAAATTTACCTATTTTACTTGATAGATATTTCATGATGGTAAAAAATACTAATTATGATAGTGAAGAAATCGTCGTTTTTGTGAGAACAGCGTTTGCTAATGATGAACCCATGTTTCGTTTATATAAACTACCAGAAACACCACGCTATCATAGGCCTGGTGGTTATGTTCTTACTAATGATACGAAAAAAGAGCTCCTCACCGTGACAGAATTCGACCAAGAGCAATATTCCAGTTTCTTAAATAGGATTAAATTCTCACCCATTGGACATTTTACCGGCAATTATTTTCCTCGGCTTCACGAATTTAGTTTCGTTCGTTCACAAGCTTTTAACGACTGGCTTCAGGAAAATCGAAACACTTCCGGAATAGCTAGTGAGTCCTTGGAAGCTGTTTACAAAAAAATTGATTCTTGTTTTGAAAATGAATCTAATGTTTATATAGAATTTTTTCGAAGTTATCAAATCCATTTTGCTATCCATCCTCAATTATTAACAGAATTTTTCAACAGCAGTACAAAGAAAATTTTAGATATCAATACTGAATCGTCATTTTTGACTATTTTAAGAATAATTGACCTATTTTCGAAGGAAGAAATATTCTTGGTCTCTAAGGATACATTTAACTTTACCGAATACTTAACATACTGGTTAAATTCGCATTATAATCTACTTGTAATAGAAGATACACTACTGAGTGAAACAGTGCTCCGTGATATGTCAAGTATATTAACCAGTGACTCTCTGAAACTCTTCAATAGCAATAAAAAGGTTATTCTAGTAAATAAAAGTCAGCAAATATCAAAAAATATCCACCAGACTATTGATAATTTTGATGATAAAGGGTGGTTCAATGATTTCAGCGAGGATGTTCAAAATGATTTAGTGAGCAGAGAAGTTGTTTTGCAAGGCGTCCCTCTAAAGTTAGGGGATGCTCTGGATAAAAATACCATTTCAAAAATTCTTGATAAATTCACCCTAGACCGGCTTACTCAAGGCTGGAGCATGAAAATTGGTGAACACTTCAATAAATTCAATAAAATTCGATATTTTCAAAGGACATTAAGAAGACAGCTTGTGAACAGAGAAGTGCTTAACAGTGAATTTTTATCTAACAATTTGGTACTTATATCCAATATAACTGCAGAAGAATTATCACATTTAGAAGTAGATGCTGTTCAGCATAGTGAATCTAAAAATCTTAGAAATGGAATTTGTCTCTTAAACAATCCCGAAGAAAATTTAAATAATTTTCATAAACGTTGCCATGATAGTACTGTGAATGGGATTTTCTGGTTAGAGCATAAAGAGAGCCGATTGTTTTTAAAAGACTTTTCCGGCAATGTTACCAGTTTCGTGGAAAACTTGGAAGATTTGCCTTTCTCGGAAGAAATCAGTGTAAATCAATTCGTACCAAACAATAAAGTTAATATTATCACTGACTTTCCTGGTATGGGAGGAGAAACATTTTTAAATTACTTAGCAGGAGAATTAAAAGAATGCAATCCCACTCATTGGGTGTTCTCTAATATTTTTTTTGAAAAGGATAAAAATAAAATGGATAACCTTTCACAAAAATTTTTCAATGCATTTGACTACTCTCAATTGATAATTGTCTGCAACTTTGAAGAAATAGTCGATTTAGAAACACAAGATGTAGTTTTTAAGCAAATACAATATTTAGCTTCTAGAAACAGTACCGTATGGATAATCTGTAATCTGGAATCCAGAGTTAAATTGCAAATTCTATTTCAAACTGCAGCTTACAGAATAAATCCTTTAAAGGTGCCAGAAACAAGTGAATATTTTTCTCAAACCTTATTTTGGCACAACCTAACTGGGGTAAGGAATTTAAGATCTACCCATAAAGAAACGTACTACTTTATTATGCGTACATATAACATTCCTGACGAACATTCTAAAATCGAATTTACAGGATTTCCTTATCACTGGGACATATTACATCCATCTCCTTATCTATTGGACGGGGGGCTTTATCTATCGGTTGGCACGTGGGTTTTCCATACAGTGAATAATTTCAAAA